CTCACATGACATGCCTAGAGGCTAATGCTGGCCTATGCTTTTTTTTTTGTACATATTTAAACAAAGGCTGATTATCCAAACAAGAATTTGGACTGCATCAACTGGACCAGTTAAATTATAGTTAGTAAAACTTGGCGCCTTCTGAGCTTGGAATGTTACAATTACAGCTGGATCCTCATTTGTTAGGCAGCCTTACAAAATAATAAAACTGAGATTTTTATCTTTATAGGACAAAGCTTAACTCTTTTGACTACAGAGACCCAAGTGCCAAATATTACAGTTACTTCTTGGATATGCTATTTCCTCTTTGCAGCTGTAAACATGCTCAAGCAATTGTGTTTGTGTTGTTTAATGCAAGGGTCAAAATGGGATTTTTAAGTTTTATAAGTTGCATGCCAACACTCCTATACATTCTATGACAAACAGAGTAGGCATTAATTATCTTCAGATGTAGCCTGAGATAGGTAGAAAGAACATGAGCATCTTATTGCTTAATGAACTTTACCTTACTGCAGGCTTATTTTGACAGGAATTGGTTCTTTTTACCTTACATTTATCTTCTACGTGTTTCTGTCACTGAAACCAAGCCATGCATCTCTGCAAGTGTTTGATCAATGGGGTCCGGTATGAAGCTCTCAGTCATGATTTCTAGCAGTAGACAGTGGAATTTAAGTCTTCGGTATACTTCTTTGCTGGTCTCTTCTGAGGCCTGTGTATTTCCTCTTTGGCTGATTCTGCTGTTGTTCACTGCTATCACCATGGACTTGGTTTTGTTCTTAGCAGGTGGCACGAAAAATGTAGAGGTGTTAAGGTTTGATTTTTAGCAAACTGATCTTGTCCATTCCATTTTGTTCAGAGAACAGAGGTAGGCTGTTTTTGGATTAGCCAAAATTAGTAACTATGCAAATGAGTCTCAAAAGGTGTATGTGGCTCTTTATTGGTTAGAGCAAAAGTCTCTCCTGTTGGTTCTGAAAATGAATATTCCTTTCTGAAACTAAATGCAGGGAGCCAGATCATTAAGGCAAAGTACAGACAGTCAAAAAGCCTGAGACTGAATCGATTCAGTCTTCACAGGTTAGTCTAAGCTGCAGATATTAAGCTGAGAAACCACTAGACAGACATTCACTTTTGACTCAGGAAATGCAGCCATATACCTGCAGTGGCTGAGGCCAGAAGCCAGGGGGTGCTAGAGCACATAGCCAGCATGGGCTGTATGTTCACTTCCCCTTCCTGCTGTCCCTGAGGTCTCTGGGATTTTCAGCCCAGAATCACAGTTGCTCATCGTTTCCTGCTTCCGGATACCTCCTGGGATTTGCAGGCTACAGTTGCAGCCAGCAGTAAGTTTTTAGTAGGGGAGGGCTGCTCTGTACTTGTGGGAAGGGACATTTAACCCCCTCCCTGGCCCCAGTCCCCAGCTGGGGTTTGCCTGGGGTGGAGAGGCAGTCCCTGCTCTGGTGGAGCAGACAGCACAGCACAGGCCAGGGTTGGAAAGCATGCTGGGATGCTGAGGGTCTGTGATTTAACTTGACCAGGAAGGGGTCTGGGACAGAAATTTCATAAACTGATTTGAACCAAATCAGTTCAGTCTGATACTACATTCAACCAGGTTTATCTTAAACCAGTTTCAGTCATTTTGAAACTGGTTTATGTGCACTGAACTTCTTTTCTCTTACAGGTTTAAACCAGTTTCTGATGACTGAAACTGGTTTATCTGTAACATCTCTCCCTAGCCTAGCTGGTACATATTAGGGTAGTTGTGTTAACTTGAATGGAACTGTGCCAATTTACACCCTCCAAGGATCTGCCCAGATTTTTCCCTCTGTAGGGGAGCTGTTTATCAGGATTTTTATTTTTTTTGAGCATGTGGCATTTGGATTCTTCAGTAAAAATGAATCAAACCTCCTGAAATTATTGTGGGGTCTACATAAAAAGAGACTCTCCTATGCAGTAATGCCAGTAGCTTAAATAATTACCATTTGTTTTTCTTCGTAGGTGCTGAAGGTATCATCAGCTACCTCATATTCCTGCGTGGAAAAAAAATGGTTTCCATTTATTTTAACAGTTTTGTCATGTTTCAACAAACTGTCGTTTCTTTTGGTGGCAGTGAATAATACGCACTTGCTCAGATCAAGATAATACAGATGTTTTCAGAGTGGGGTGGTTGAATGGAAGGAAATTCATTTTCTTAATTTTTAAAACAGACGTTAAAGATTTTTAATCAAGATAAACTTGCAGATTCATAAGATGCAACTTATTCTGGGAGAAGTTGCACCAACTGGCAATAAGAAAGACCTAAGGAGAAACTGTGAGTTAATGTTTAGTCCTTTATTACTATCTTAATCAACTGACTTTACAACATGACCTTTTTAATTGGAGCTGTTTTTAAAAAGAGCGTTAATGTGCCATGCACCCATGGAAAGCTCCAGCTGGCACTGTGCACAGCAGCCCATATGCTACACAACCCAGGGTGCTGCAAGCTCATCTCCCTAGCGCTCTGTTTTCTGCCTTAGCTCTACGCTGAATACAAAGTCCGGTGGTGGGTCTCGGCATTGAAATTCAGACCCTTCCGTGATACCGGCTCCAGCTCCTTGAGAGAGCACTTCCCTCGCCCCAGCAGCTGCGCTCCAGGATGCACGACTGCTAGGGAAGCCTTGTGTACGTAGGGCACACACGGCTATTATAGCAGCTGGATCTAAAATCTGACGTGGGCCTGATTTGCGTGATTCATACCTATGCATCTGTTGCTTTCTAGGTCACTTACAGCTTATGTATGGCGAGCTGGTTAGGAATTTCCCTTCTTTCTTCTTCGCGTCCTTGAAAGTCACTGAGCTCTGTTCCTTCCTCATGAGTAATTGCAACCACAGCATTGGGCAAACCGGCTCTTGAAGAAGTGGGTTCCCCAGGTTAGCCTTTGCGTAACTCAAAATTTAATTTCAAGAAGCAGTATCTGGTTTCTGACCAAAGGAGTCCTTTATTTATTACCTCCACTGCCCTTGATATTTTTCTCCATTGAATCGTCTCACCTTAAGCCACAGTGAGGTGATTGAAATAGTGAGCCGGTGACTTAAGAGGCCTGGGTTTATGACCTTAAATCCAAATGTCTATAGTGCCTGGAACACCCATCGAGAAAATACCATTGGTAATAAAAACAAAAAGGTTACCCTGATCAAATCCAAGTATTTCAGATGAGAGGATGGCCTAGTTGTTGGCAGAAGGCATCTAAAGTTTTACAGCCTCTCTTCAGATGTTCTAAAAATAATTTTTGGCTGCCAAAAGGGAGTCGGCATATGTGGTTTATGTATGAATGAAAATAACTGATCCCTGCAAGACGCACAGTTTCGTTCCGGCAGCTTTGCTTTAGAAATGTGTTCGTCCACACTAATTAGCAGGCACTCCTGGATCAGACTTGAGTATCCCTGTACTATGCATATTCAAAAATCTCTCTCCCTTCTCTGTTTTCTCATCTGTTGTCTTATTTAATTGAATCTGCTTTTCCTGCTCTTGCCTCTTTGTTTGGGAGATTTACCCCAAGGTCACCAAGGGAGTGAAGGAGAGGAAGTGAGATGAGGATTACTCATCATCACAGGTCTCTCTCTTGTCCCCGATTTCCCATCGTACTTTTTATTTTTTCCCCTTCTTGCCTCGTGAAATGATTCTAAGTTCACTTCAATCTTTATAAAACTCCAAGTATTATAGGGCGGAAGAAAAGGTTTTGAAATGCTGCAAAGGTCATTAAAAGTAAGGGATGACCACGAAGAAGGGAAATTCCCTTGGCCAGTTAGAGCCGTGCTTGGGAAAGGAGAAGCAGAGATTTCGTAGAGCATGTGATTCATACTTGCTCATTGTGGAACAGATTGTGTCTCCCATCCTGCTGCCCTGTAGTCTGTGCCATGAGAGAGCTCCTCTAGTGCCTAGGCACCGTAGGGTGGTATATTATAAAATGTATTTTAAAACACTCGGGAGCTTGTGTTACAGTACAGTACAATTATTCCCAAATACACCTGATGTTTAACAAAAGAGAGACAGACCTGGTTATGAATGATTTTGTTGCAGATGTTTTTGGACTGTAAAAGCCACTGGACTCATGGTTATTCCCCGTTCCTGTCCCAAATGCATTATAATAAACAGCATTATGTTTGGCGGTGTTTTAGTTTATTTAATTTTTAATGGATAGTATTTGTCACAGCAAAATGGCTTGTTTTGCTCTACAGGGATTGCCTAAAAAAGTCAGTCGTCAACTTTGTTTTGATTTGCAATACCAATTTATACACGCACGGCAACAAGCATGTGTTCAGCTTCCGCAGACTTTAAACAACCAGCGTACAAATGAGCTGTTCTCACAGTTGAAGTTGAGGTTGCTCCACACATTGTGGCCTTGGACCCTCAGATCTCCTCTTCACGTTTAAAGTCGAGTCTGATTTCTGTTCAGAGGTCTCTCTCGTTGAAGATGCCCAGAACATTGCAGTTTCATAGATTTTTGGGGTCGGATGGGACATCAGTAGATCATCATTTCAATGTGGATATCTCCCTTAACCATATGCTGTATCTTAAAATCATAGCCGCCTCTTCTGAAGTTCTCTTGAGATGTGTGTGGGGCTTTTTTTGTTAATAAATGCTGTATTCGGGAAGCAATGAAACTGTGTTTACGTCCACAATTAAAATTTCACATCATGGCGGATCTTAATTTATTTACTCATCTAGTTTCTGCTGGGAAAAAAACTAATTGCTTTTGTACTGGAAATAAAGTTGACAGAACTTTGAATTTTTCCAGTGGCTCATAAGGCTATTTCCGAACATCGCATTTTGCAAAATGCAGCGTATTTTGATATATCTACTTCTTTCTGATGTTCTTCATTAATTAGCAGGGAGAGAGACTGCCTCTTAATACTAGTTTATATTGGACTCTCTTGATAGATGGAGCTTTATTTGGATTTCTAAAATTACATGTGAAATCTCATGTGGCAGACACAATGGCACTAAGCTCTTGGAGATGAAACCGGACATTTTAGACATCAGCTAAATATAATTTTTGTATATGCTTTTGACATGCTGCTCCACAATCTCTTCTCTTGAAGGAGGAAGCACTTGAGGAATAATGTTGTCCATAGGAACTGTTCAATCAGAATTAATGTGTGGAGAGGGCACTTGTTAGGGACATATTGTTAGAAATGCTTATCTGAGACTTCCAGTCTTTGAATAGAAAATGTCAGCCATGTAAAAATATAGATGGAACTGTGTTTAAAATTCTTCAAGGCATAACATGGTTTACTTTTTCCAATTCCCTAAAAATAGAAGATAAGTAGAATGTCGTCCATCCGTCCCCCGTCCCCCCCCACCATTCATTTATTGTCATGAAATTCTTTGTGGTCATTACTGTTGACCACAATACCACCTACTGGTGAGAGTCAAAGTCATCATAGGCCAGCTGCTTTATTGCTGACCATTGCTGCTCCTGACTTTAGTAGCTGTTTCTCCTTTCAGACTGGCCAGTAAAACTTCATGGAACAGCTCAACAAGAGCAATGCACCCTACCTAACCAACAGCCCATGCTGTAGCTATGTTGGACTGTAATGGCAATATCTCTGCACCTTTCACTTCCTTCATCTTTCCATTTCATATAGCAGTCTTCATCATGCTGCTATCACAATGCCCTACAAGGAATTTGAAGTCACCCTCAGATTTCTGTTGTTTCCACCCATATGACTTAGCAAAAGGAAACAATGTCTGTGGGCTAATTGCTCCAAAGAATAATGCTTCTACTTGTTTGAGAACTCAGAGTTCCATGTTTGTGTTTTTATTTCTTTATGTTGGCAAGTATGCACACCATCCCACAAAAAAACTAGGTCAGAAAGTTCAGAAGTTTTATTTCAGCGCTGGTCTGAACTTTTCTCTGAACCTGCTTGGTCTATGTGAGGCTGGGAAATTTCACCGGAACTTGAGCTTCTTGCGAGGTGTCCAGCACTTTTTGGTTTTGGCAGAATCAGAAGTGTCTCAAGAATAACTGTCCTTGAGGTTTTTCGCTTTCCCATGCTAGACTTAACCGGGAAATTCAGTTCAGAAGGAACGTTGCGTTTTACCCTGTTACCAGCCATTTCAAATCTCAGACCTTTGTACTGGAAGAAAAAGTGTAGGCTCGCCCATCAATACTTCAGATGCCCTTCATCCATGTTTGACTTGCTACACAACTGTGTGGAGGTACTTAAATGTGCATAAATGACTGTGTTGCTTGAATCCTTTTTGCAAACACAAAATCCAAAAACACATCCGTTAAACTACCATCTAAACAAAAGAAATTCAACTGTCACATTACTCAATATCCCCGCACGCAGCATACTATGATTTTTATTCAGCAACAAAGACATAACCTCAGTCAGTTCAGATCAGTTTTGTAGCTGTAGAAATGAACTGGCATACTCTACAAGTTGCAATTCATGATGAGTCCCTTTAAAGGGCTTCCAAAAGCTTAAAAATCCATAAATAAAAATTAGGAAAATCATTATCATTCTCTCAAAGACGATACAATTATTGAACATTAAATTAGACCAACATAGAAGGCAACCCTAATTATATGTTACCGGATTCTTAGGCCTTATCTATATGAGAAATTATGCCATTATAAGCTAAGATGTGAGTGTGTCTTCATAGGCTCTGCTGTATGTTGAAGGGTGCTATTAGTATGACTTCTTCAATTCAATATGCAGTGGGAATTAAGTATGTTTTTAAGAATCACTTTACTGGTAAACCAGGGCCTGAACCAGTGAAATGTTGAGTGCCTTCGTTTCCCAGTTATGTGTCTAGACACTCTTCAGAAAAATCTGCAATTCATAATCATGAAGACAGTAGCGGCCTTAGGGGAGGGCAAACCAGGCAACCGCTCAGGGCCTCACACTTTAGGGGGCCCCCAGATTTTCCACTCCAGCTGTAATAAAAAGTAATTATACTGAATATTTATATTATCAATATTGTATTAAGATGCTTTCATTGCAGTTTCATGGGTAGGGCAAAGTGAAATTGAAATTAAAAAAGTCTGACTTATTTATAGGTCATCAAAATTAAGCCCCTAATGGGCTCTAAATGACTGTCTTGCCCAGGGCCCCAGCAATCCTCAGGCCACCACTGAAGGAGGTTATAATGAAGACTGTCCTGACTTCCAATGATTTGCGCTCAAAGTATTCAGAACAGCAGTCAGTAAAAATTATTACTAACCCATCTCATTACAAAAACTTACAAGGCAAAGTGCAGAAGAAATCTCACAGAAGGAGGGGATTTCTCTTTGTCTCCTCTGTAGCTCAGTTTAAGTTTGTATGTACAACATTATGGAACATTTTCTTTAATGGTTGCCTGCGCTGTGCTTGATTAATACAAGACTGCAGTGTTCCCAGGCCATCAATCTTCACAAACACATGTGTAGACTGAAAAATGTTTTTAAGGACAACATCAAAAATACAAATGTTGATAATCTGGAAGATAAAAAAGATGTTGATAAAACTGTCGTTCACTTCCGTCACATGAATCTGAAACCACTGACAAGGGGGGCTTTGCTTGCCATTTAAAATATTTTAAGTACATGAGAGGAAAACTTTGAAAAGTGATTGTTCTCCATGCGGTGACTACAGTTCCAACTGAGAAATCTCCCGTCCTGCACTTTATCAGGCAGTAATATCCAGCCAGTCAGGAAGGTATTAGGGAGGTGCCAGAGACATCACAGGAAGGGTTGGAGGTAGTGTTTGGAGGTGGGGAGCTATTTATGTTAAAAAGGAGCTAAAATTGAAAGGTGCTAAAACTGAACAGTTAGAAAACCAATTACCATGGCTTAAATAGATATGTAAATAGGGATCAGTGCTTTTTTGGCATGCTTTCTGGTGCAGAATTAATGAGCGTGATGTTTAGATGCTTGCTTTTTGCTTTAAACAAGACAGCCGTTTGAGTGTCCAGGCCCTGAGACTGCTTATCACTCTGTGAATGTGATGTTAAAAAAAAAGTTTAGGTGGTTAAGTAACACATGTAGGATTTCGGTACGTTCTGGCAGGTATACCTGTAAGTAGACAGGGCTCTGGCAATTGCCCCAATCAACTTTGTCACCTTTCTCATTTAATTGAGAGGTGTTGTTTTAGGTCCTGGTCACACGAGATACAGAGCACTTTCCACTCCCACCGAAGTCACCAGGAGACGAGGGTGCTCAGCACCTTTCAGGTTTGTCCGTCTTCCTTTAAAACATTGCTGTGCAACTGGGCTGGGGATTTTGTCTGTATTCACGCTGCCCTTTCAATAAGGGACAGGGAGCGATGCGGCGTGCTTTATAGCCCACTTCAGTGAAGAAACACCTAGTTGTTTTATTCAGAGGTACGTAGGAGCCTTACCTAAGCAGCAGCACCCCCCCAACTTCGTTTACAGAACTCATTTTTTGAATCCAAGTGTTTTATAGTGAAGTAGAGGTCGTAAAGCAGTTGTTTATAATGGGGTTTATCTTAGACTCCAGCTGTTTGCCAGCCTGATATCAGAAATGATCTGAAAAAGCCTGACTATGGTGGCAGCTTAAAAAAGGAGAGTTGGGGGGGGAACCTCATAAAAATAGCTGAGATCATTCACCAGTTATCAAGAAACAGATACTGCAGTTTTATAACAGAGAGCACTAAAAGTATATGCACTCTTAAAAGGCAATTAAAACGTATAGTCCAAAACTATAAAACATTTTCTTTTCATCTGGAACGTCGAGGGCAGATTACAACACATTAATAACGTTTTGTTTAGAGTTCAGTTTCTGATGGCTTCCAAATGCAGTCTGTGTAGATTAACCAGAAGGAGCCCAGTTCTCTTTTAAGAGAGCTTGTAAAGGAAAGCAATGTGGTAAGATTGTTATGAAAAGCTAGTGTATTTAGGAAATAGCACTTAGCAGGGTCTCTCTGAATGGCTGCCAGGTCAGGAAGCTGAAGTGCAAGGCTTGGCCCTCATTCAGGCCCCCCAGTCCCAGCTCCTTGACCACACAGTACGTCAGGAACATGTCACGAGTGAGCCACGGAGGCTGTGCCACGCCTACGGACCAGCTTGGCACAAACATTTTCACATAACCCAGGGCTCTGGAGGGGACGGAGGCAGGCATTCCAGGGCCAAGGGAACATGCTACTTTTTAAAATAGAAATGAATAAATAAAAATAATAGAAAAAAAAAAGCATGGGAATCAAACGTTTGTTTAGTCCGTCTGCCACATTTAGCTGTATCCATTCCACAGAGCAAAGCTGGCCTTTTTTGCAGGGCAGGGCTCGCTGGTACTGAAGCAAAGGAAGCCAAAATCGCACCCTTCTTTTAAGCAATTTGGTTCCTATTCTTTCTGTTGCTTGTTGCAAGAGTTTTATGCTATGCCATACAGAAGTGCCCGGGCCTCGTTGTCATCATGGATTGATAGACAGGGCCTGGCTTTTGTAGCGACTTGGAAGACAAGTGACATGTCCCAAAAAATGTGCAGCCTGTTATATAGGGAGGATTTAGGGAGTAAAACTGTCCTGCCACAGGCAGCAGCAGGGAGTAGAAAACAGAAGGGAATGAAGTCGTGTCCTTCGGAGAGCCATTCTAGCTCTTTGCTTTGTTTTAGAAATCAGATCAAAGTTAGGCCCTGGTGTAGTCATGGGAGATGTAGGCCATTTCATATTTAAAGGAGGCAGCAGGA